TTGCAAAGAAAAAATGTACTCTTTGCATCTGAAAATCAACACTTACTCACCATATACATTCAGTGTGGTTCGCCCAAGCAAAGCACCTCCTTCAGTTGGTATAATGGTAACACTGTACTCTCCACTGTCAGCTTTAGTCAGGTTCCTGAGCTCCAGAGATCCAGTAGAGGGGAACAGGGTGATCCTGTCTTTATACTCGAGTGGACTTATATTTGAGCCACTACTTGAGGTTATTATATTTGTCACTCCAAAACTCCAGCTCACAGACACAAACGGTGTTTGTGTTGGACTCAGTGATGTAGTGAACACAAACGTCCCGTCAACAGCTGCATTCAGAGGACCATCCGGCAGCACACCAGAGCCTTCAGTTAAACCTGGAGGACACAGTTTTGGACATGATTTCTTGGTGACAAAACAGCACCAGTTAGTTCTTCTAAAAAATTGGTTGTAAGTTTCAACTTTTCTATAACTGACTAGTGCAAATGTCTCTTGTCTGTAAGAAGAAGAAACAACGGAGTAGAATTGAAGTCGTGGTTAAATGTACTTAATATTTGCAGTCGTAGCAAAATTATTGCTAAAACATAGAATAAATAAATAAATGAAAATACAAAATGTATTAAAGTTCCAAGATCTAGATAAGATTAAACATAGAAATGTAAACTTTCAGATTTTAGCATTGCCTTACTTTTTGTTTTGTTGATATAATTAACATTAACATTCATTCATACATAATAAACATTCTCTAAATAACTTCACAAGAAAGAACATGTTAACATATTTTCAGGTTTCTTTGTTTATTCTTTAAAAACAAGTAAAAAATATTTGTATCTGCTGCATCAAGATGTAAGAGCTCACCTGCGATGGCTCCGAGGATGACAATGCTCATCATAGCCTTTTCCATTTTAACTTAAATATCAAATAAAAGAAACGACCAAAATGGTTTGTCTTTGACTCCCTGACTTTTCCTTTGCTGATTTCAGGCTTCGTATGTCGATTCTAAAATTCAAAGTTATGAGGAAGTGGGCTTGCTTCTCTAAAAAAGGTTTTTTGTCTGTGCTTGTTAATCATTACTAACGTGCTGTTAAACTTCCATTCCCTCATGTCACTCAAAGAGGAGGAAGCCATTATTCAAAAAGCATAATAAAAAAAAGCCTGATTACTTTTTGCAAAGGCACACAGGGACAAAGAC